TAATTAATTTATGTATTTTTAATTATTACAATTTTGAGATAATTTTGTTTTTGCTTCAGTAAAACAAAATACAATTGACTGCCTTTCGAGTGCCTAATAGTCTTTATATTGTGCCTAACATTTATATCCATTATTCTTTAAAATCATTATATAATTAGTTTATTGAATGTATTGTTTAATAATATATATTTTTAATAAAATTGAATTATAATCAAACTTAACTAAATTATTTTCACAATATAATACAGTATAATATATATAAAGATATTATCATTGCAGTTTATACTGTAGAATATTACAATAACTAATAACCAAGTTATTGTCAGAAGATATGAAATCTCATTTATTAGGTGAAATCACTGTTTTGTAAACAATTCATGACATTTTGTTTGCTAACCACTTAAAAGAAAACCATTTTTATAGATCCGAAAATAAGTTAATGATTTGATATAATATTTATATCGATAAATATCATCATATATTATATCAATTATTGGACAAAATGCCAAATATTATTCATTGCAAACAGACCACAGCCAAGAGTACACTGAAATCAGTTACTTTATGAACAAGAATGCAAATATTCATAAGAATTTTATAATAATTTGATATAATAACGAAGTGGTGGTCATTTGAATTGTCATTTTCTATGAGAACTATAAATCATTTTTCAATGCATTTCACGTGTATTACAAGAATAACTTTAGTTTTGTTTTTGATATTGTAGAAAGTGAAACTACATATTTTAGCTTTAAATACCACAAATACATACAGCATATTGATAAAAATAGATGATTTAATTCAGTTATTTTTAATAAATTCTGTATTCCAACCAAAATATTGTTTTATATAATATATAATTATACGAAATGTTTTCTAATTACCCAAAAAATCAAACTCATAGCCGTTCGTCGTTTAATGATTTCATGATAGACTACAATAATCATAGATTTAACGCAAATCATTCATCGCATCAAAGAAAAAGTGTTGACAACACAGGAGAAGATAATTCTCATCACTGCTGGCACTATGTGTTTAAGTTGATGGTTATAATCGGCTGCGCCTTAGGCTGTGGCTGGCAATGCATTTCGATTCTCAATCTATTCTTCTCGTTCCCAAGTATTGTCTTAGTATACGTCGAGACTATGGATCAGTTAGAACTGCCGGCCATTACACTCTGCAATAGTAATCGGTTTGTATTTTCAATTATCCCGATTGTCACCGCCTATAGTTCCATACAATTAGTATTAATTTTAATAAAACTTTTAATACTTGTGTGAGATTCTGATACTAATGGACTGCAACTATAGGCGGCGAATGCGAGGCACTGACTATAACTACAACTGAAATGATGTTAAATAAACTTTCAAATAGTGTAATGATGTCTAAATTAAGGCAATACAACAAAACGTTTGACAGAATTTGGAGCACTTATGACGACACCTCTGATGTGGACGACGACAACGTCACTAAATTAGTACTTCATTTCTAATCAATTGTTTAATTGTCTCATTTGACACCATTTACTTGAATTGATATAAAGGATAAGCAACAGATCGTTGACGACACTATTCGTACGCTTCTCAACACATTGACTGTCAATGATTTCATGACATTAGGCCATACGGCCGACGACTTCTTAGTTCCCGATTACTTTCGATGCGCTTCCGATGCCTTTCATGCCGACCAAAAATGCAGGTATTTATTAGTTATAGAGTTTATGAGTTTATTAGTTGCAAATTATAGATTTTTACGTTATATAAGCTTAACATACAATTAATATTAAATTGACAAAAGGTAACTTACAGTTATAATAGTTAATACAGTATATGATAGGCTATCGCAATCATTGATAGCGAACAACTTGATAGACTTAACATTACCCGTAGGATTAGCATTGCCATAGACTTAGCATTACCCATGTTAAAGTATAGCTATAAACTTAAGCTGTAATCCCATGTTAAATCCCATAGGGTGGGGAACCGGAAGGTGTAGGGGGCTTTACGATCCTATAAACCACATTATTCATAGCCGAATTGTGGTTAAAAAGAGAACAGTTCTCTATTTTGTTCAAATACAAGTCCAAATAGAGAACTGTTCTCTGAAATAGAGCACAGGTGGTCACACTACTTACAACCCTAACGACTCCGTATGATAATTAAATGATTAATTGATACCTAATTAGTTAATATAGAAGTTAAAATATTTTTATAATAATTTGAAATATATTTGATAGAAAATATGCAGATATTCTGACAACTGGTCAAGAAGTGGGTGAGTATTATATACTATATGTAGGACAAGAATATTGTGCAAACATTCAATGCAATTATTGATTGATAAATTTCAGGCAACTGTTGGACACTATTTCATAAATCGACATCAAATATATTGAAAGACATCGCAATACAGTCGGGTCTCTCGCAGTCGCCGGTCATTAGAGGTAATGGAGAAGCTGTGGATCTGGAACTCGCGGACCAACCCTTCCATCCAAACGAGATCTTAAGGATAAAGATTAACTTCAGTGCCGCTGAATACACGACACTTAACGACGAAGTGTTCGGCCACTTCATTGTTCACGACGACAATATACTGCCGCCTATTAGGGAGAAAAACTTTTATATCTATCCGGGATTTTATTACGAGTTCTTCATTCTTAGACAGTCAGACATTCTTCTGCCCAAACCTTATGCCACCGATTGTGTGGACTATTTCTCACTACCAGTGAACGCGAGTCATAGCGATTCCAATGAATACCTCAATCATCCGCTCTCTAAAGAGAATTGCATTATTGGATGTATGGCTGAGAATACGATCGAGAAATGCAAGTGTTGGCCACCAGAGCTACCGTTCCTCAAAGGCTCGGACCCGGACGCGCCCGAGAATAAGGTGAAGTGGTGTGACTGGAATAGCGGGCCTCAGATTAGTGCCGACCGTTTAGCTGAGAAGAGTGCAAACGAGTCGTGGTTTAAATTTTGTTTCACTGAACACGAGAAGCAATNAAGTGGTGTGACTGGAATAGCGGGCCTCAGATTAGTGCCGACCGTTTAGCTGAGAAGAGTGCAAACGAGTCGTGGTTTAAATTTTGTTTCACTGAACACGAGAAGCAATGCACCGAAAAGTGCAAATTGGACTGTCAGTCAGTATTGCATTTTACTATTCAAGCTATTATTTCACAATTATTGTCAATTAAATAATACATCAATTCATTTATATATCGTATTATTTTTATGTCAATGTTTTATATGTTTAAACATAAGAAAACTTTTACCAACATTTGTTAATATTTAAGTGGAAAGACAGATAGAATATATTATTTTCTATATAAATCTCTACATGTATATAGATTTTTAACCACAATTCTGTATAGAATAATGTGGTTTGGAGAATCGTTCAGCTACTCTCCCCCTGTTAATAGTAACAGTAATATATAAAGTACCATTATTTTATTAGTCTTCAAAAAAAATGTTGACATACAAATAATTTTGCATTTTTTTAAAAAGAGATTTGACTAAATATTAACACATAATTTGGTTAATAAATTGCTAGTATGGACAGGTATACGATTCTTCAACAGAAAAGAGATTGGCCCGCAAAAGAGCGTATCGTAAGTTCACATATCTTTACAATATTGTATTTCATATATTTTATAAGATTCTATGACATTTTTTCGAAACCAATTTTTCGAAAGACATTTTTTCGAAAAAATTAATTTATATTAAAGAATTAACAAGTTTAACCTAACCTAACTTACCCTAACCTAACCTAAACTAACATATAATAACTTGACTAATGATATTATTAGCAATTTAACTTAATCTAATGAGTTTAAAGTAAATTTAAATTAATTTTTCGAAAAAATGTCTTTCGAAAATATGATTTCGAAAAAAATGTCTTTCGAAAAAGTGTCTACATACCATTTTATAAATACTCGATGTGTACTAGTAAGAATTTGGTTAATTATAATAAGTTTATAATTAATACACTATTTGTTACTAACGCTCTGATACCATAATATGCGCAAATACTATGTGTGTAAGAATACAATTTTGAGCATATTTTGATACAGTTTTGGTTATAAATTATAACTTATAATAATTGGGAATATAATTAAATTGATTGAATTGATAGGAACACAGCAAACACGCCGACACTCTTCTCGACAATCATAAGTGTTGTGCAACCGTTTCGGTCAGATATTGGAGTGCAGAACACAATATCAATAAATATGAGCCCAAATACGAGGTGTTTATAATGATCTCAAGAATATGATTATAACTTATAATTTATAAGTCTAATGAGTGATGCATTTGATTATTAGATATCAGAGTTTATAGCATATATGGGCGGACTATTGAGTATGTGGTTAGGCTTTTCTTTGGTCAGGACTTATGACTTAATGGAATTCGTGTCAATTCGGTTGTGTGAGAGAAGGGCTGAAAACAAGCGACAGTCAAGGCTTATGGAATCCAAACTTTCCAATTATGACACCAAATATCATTCAAATCCCACTAAAACTAAGCGAAGAGTTCACCACAATATTGATAAATGGCATCAAATTAAGCCTAAAGTTTCAAATCTATTGACACTAAATGCAGTCAATAATGATTACAAACTCGATAAGTTGGCGGTTCCCAAACAAACAACTATTTAATTAATTTTGTGAATTCAATTGTCAAACAAATTCATAAATTGCAACATAAAGTCAACGATAAATGAATGGTCGAAATGGTTTTGCAATTCTTTTGGTTAGTGTTATGAATAATAGAGTGAATTTTATAATTAATATAAATCTAATCAAATTTTTGTGGAGTTAAATGTGTAGAGAATTTGTAATTAAAATCATTTAAAAAATTAAATATATTTGATCATGTATAATTTAAATTTTTATAGAAAATTAACTAATAAATGATTAAACTTTTTACTGCTAATAGCAAATGTCCTTAGATTATTATAAAAATTGATATAAAAAACCATCATGATTATGGATCAAACAATTAATTATAATTAATTATGATAATCAGACGTACAACTGATTTGCAATTTAGAAATGGACTATTATATACTGTATGTGATGTACAGACGAGACTACAACAAACTTTTGGTGCGAAGTGTTGTACATACGAACTCTTTGGTCTTTTTAGTTTTCTTCAGTCAAATTCTTCCAAATTCTTGAACATTCTGTTATGTATTGTGAGAATATTTGACATCAAAAGTATATTACTATTTATATAAAATTCGATATTACAAAATAATAAAAAATTTACTGCAAATAAAACGCTCTGACGTTATTAGTATTTAAATATATTATTTTTTGGTAATAACTGTTAATCTAATTTAAATAGCGTACAGTAAAGTATATATTGTAGAGTGGTTTAAAATGTAGCCTAAAGATTCCTTAACATCTCTATTACATGCCTATAACATCCCTATCATAGACTTGCTTTACATGTTATGAATTGCCATTTGTGTCAAACGAGAAGCAAGTGTTTCATTATATCATATATCATATGATTGTTACAAACAATTACTGTCAATGAATCCAAGCATATAATTATCGTCAATAACTCGTTCACGTCTTCACGTCTTCGCCAATATGTCTGAAGCGACCAATTCTTCGGGTAATTAATTACATATGAATACAATTTAATTGAATCACTTATAGTTGTTGTCAATGAATCCAATGATCCACTCATCCAATGGATAACAATTGAAACAAAATGTAAATTAAAATAATAATGAAATTGTAATTTTATATATGATATGTCGGGTCGACAGCGAAGCCGTCCGACGATAACCACTCATTGAGTGACTCAACCGATGGCTCCAAAGAGAGCGGCACTCAAAAAGACGATTCAATCAGTCGTTAGTATTTGAATTGATTTGAATTGTTGTCAACTAATATTCAATGTATTTATTAGTGGAAAAATTAACCAAAATATTTGCCACTAATTTTGGACTCAATGAAAGTGATGGCAAAGCAGTGACTAATGTTGAGAAAGTGTTGGACGAGTTGAGT